TTGGTATTATGGTTAACCCGACTCTGTGTTATCTTGTTTGGTGTCGATGATTGGTTTACATGTTTGTGTATGATTGGATGATTGAGACCAAGGAAAAGGGCAAAAAGGTTATGTGAATTGATAAGTGGATAATGTTGACAGCCTGACTAGATATCCTGGGAGATGGTGGACGGACCGGATCCGTAGGGAACCCTACCGGAAACGTGGTCTCTCATACCGGACGGGGTATGAAGACCTTATGTGTTTTGGCGCCCATACCGGACGGGGTATGGGGACGGCCCGTTTCACCCTCATACCAGACGGGGTATTGAATTTTATGCTTTTGGCGCTCATACCGGACGGGGTATGGGGACGACCCTGGAATCAGGTTATTAATGTTCATGGTTCAGGTGTAGCGGGGACCCCTTATGGATCCCCATGGATACTAGTAGGCTGGTAAAAAAGGAAATTTATTATTTAATTATTGAAGTGCAAAAGTGGGATATGTCTTCTGTTACAAAGTGTATATGATTTTATGATGATTATCATGTTATTATTTTCATAGGTTATTTTCATAAATCTTACCGAGATAAGTGGACAGTAAAGTTTTTTATGTTAATAAATGAGTTTGTTATAAATTATACTCCATTAGTTGTTTTTGTTTTCTACCAACCTTTACTCATGTGGCAGTGAGATAGTGTGATGTCTTTACTGAGATAGTGTAGCTCATCCCTTACTTAACCATTTCAGATCAAGAAGACGTGGTTCCCGAGCCCGTTCCACAGGAAGACGGCGAGTTAGACGCCTAAGGACTTTATATCTCTATTTATAGTGTTTATTTCGAGTATCTCTTTTATTTAGCTTATTCTTTCATGTTTTGAGTACATTTTTGGTTATTGTGTAAGGGATGTTAATCAAAATTTTTATTACGCTTTCGCATTTGAGATTTTTGTTAATACATACATCTTCATTTAGATTCTGGGGCCGTTACAAAACTTTTTCTTTGTGATTCGGTACTCCTTGAAAGCTCTCTGGCTTCTATTCTTTAATAATTATAATATACTTAGAACTGAGATATGTAGTAGATAAATGATGTGTTATGCTTGACCTTTTAAACTAAGATTCTTCAAGAATCTGATATGGAGGGGGTTGCTCCTCCTACTCAACATCATCATTTACATCTATTGGTGTTGATATATAATCACATTCATCTCCTTTATTACTGAGATTTCTGATTGCATGAGG